TTGAGACGCTCTCGAAAATCCGTTCACTACACGTTGATTTATATGTGTGTGATTGAAAGTTAAGCAAGTTTGCATCGGCCGTGGAAAGAACAATTCTGCGTATTGCCAACGAAAGGAAACCTGTGTATTCATAGTAACTTTTGACATGTTAAACAATGCTTACAGTAAAATTGTCAGTCATATCCAAATGTAGGCATATTTGATAATTTATGAGAGAGTTACATTTTCTGATTAGTGCCCGAAGCATTCGAAGGTCTTCCTCAGCCAAATGCGAAACTATGCCCCATAATTACATAATCGCTATCAATCATGGTGTGATTTTACACAGCGGATCAATTTCTCTCGATTGCAGTGTTGTCGAGCATGCGTATCAAGTAGCCTCTTTTTGTAAAGAAAAACGAAGAAAGGTAGCCATTTTGAAAAAAAAGTTTCCATTCCTATTGAATTTGAAAGAAGAAAAGCACAGAAAATAGGAAGTTTATGGTAAGGTTATCAACGGAAATCGGTTTTGGGATAAAAAAAAGTCTTCCATTTCACTGATTTACAGAAATGTTTCCGTCCATTGAATACCATTCATTGATATCAAACTTATACTGCGTTACTTTTGCATTGAGAACTCAACTAGACCTATAGAGGTATAGTAGTTGTAGATTATTACGTTTTGACAGTGATGTTGAATAGGCCTAAAAACTCCATTGTCGGTTATTTAATGTCCAATGACAATTTTGTCGTTTTATGTCAAAGCTGAGAGATAGACATTCACTTACATCTCCATTTATTTACCTGTTGACAAATAGAACGAATCGACTTTAATTTATTAATTACGTTTTAGTATACGTTTCCTGATGTTGACTGGCTGTTTTAGGATCCCACACATGTAATTGTTGACAGGCAATGGTTCTGTATCAAGACGATGAAGTAAGTTCACTTGCGCAAAACTTACCACGGTGATTTTAAAAAAAATTGTGAAACTAGTTTTTAAATTAAACGCAAAAATATATATGTAATTGGATGTGGTACAGTGGAATAATAGTAAATTGTTAAATAATTTCTAACAAGGGTTGAGTGAAGGCATCACACTGGCGATGACTTAGAACAAAAAAACAATAACGGGGAGAGTCTGTTTCCTCCAAAGAGGACATTCAAACCAACGATAGGTAATAAATGTGTCCCTGTCAATGAATGATCATGAATTCGAAAATTAGTGAACGTCACCCCACAACTGGGACACGTTTTTCTGGTATAATGATATATACATGAAGGTGTGAGACAGGAAGGTGAAATAAGACGTGTTTATGACATATACATTATTTTCTCGTTGTATTTCTTGCATGTTAAAATACTTACTTACTCAAGCTCCTTATAAGGAAACAATCATATTTAAATGGACGCAAATGATAAATGTTTACGTGAGTGAATTTTCTTAGCTTGAAATTTTGACGAGGACGTTATAATTATTCTTTACCAAAGTCAATTAGGAAGCAATTACGCACACAGTAAGGTGTGAGATATGTCTATACGTAATATTTTACACTTACTCATACTAAATTATGTAAACACCTGTGGTATCGCAATGACAGGTCAGGTTGGAAGATTTCTGTAATTTGTTGACGTAATATTGTGACGTTGAGTTCGTTCGTGTTTGTTAGAAACAAGAAACGTACTGACCAGTGGGCGTTGTTTATGTAACGAATATTGAAATTCTAGCGAGTTTTTCACGAAATAGTGCGTTTAGTATGTCTATTTTACGTAAACACAAGTTAATCAAAAGTTATATATTGTTTTCCCGATTATCATTTCAAACGTTTTTGAATTTTATCAGAAGCAGAACAGTGGTGGTAGCATAAATAGTAACTTAAAGATCCAAATTACTGTTTAACACTAGAAAGGACGCTTACATTAAGAATGCTGTTTAGCATACACCCAGTATTATAAGTAAAGGTGTGATGTTACGGCCTCTTATATTAGTTTTAATCAGTGCTATTGGTGGTTTGTGCTGTATGTGTTATACATTGCTAATACAAGTATATATGTATGTATGACCTTTATTGTATGTATGTATGTATGTATGTATGTATGTATGTATATTTATTGCTTGTATGTGTGGTTAGTATGGTATATGTGGTGTATATTCAATACTAGTATGCATGTGGTTTGTTTCGTATGTGTGTGGTGTATACTTAATATTGATGTATGATCTGTTATGTATGTAAAGAACAAGAGGTCAACACAATTTGCCATCATTTGAAGATTTATGATGGACAATGTACTGTTATGTATTTTGTGATAATAAAACTGAATAAAAAATAAAGTTACAAAAACTATTGCTGCAGCCTTGTAGTTCAAGGTTTGGCATTACGATTAGATTATTGTAAAATACTGGACAAAAAAGTTAAGGATCACAAATGCATTATATATTATATTTACTGCCATTGAAATAAATGAAGCTAGACACTCCTTGACCACTGATTTTTCACCATTGTAGTAGGCACGATAACTTTTCGTGACGATTTGCCCGTGCAACCTACAGTAAACGTGCGGCAAGATATCCTGTAACACAGGGTTAAAAACAAACTATCAATTGTGGTTTTATTGAAAGTCTGCGTGGAACATCAAATCAATCAACAAATTTTGTGTTTCTCCTTAATGCCCTGTCATTTTCCATCCTGTTAGGAAAATTTGTTAGCATGAAACGTCACATGACAGATGCAGAGGCTGGCCAAGCAGACGGGTTACTGCAAGCAGGACAATCACAACGAGCTGTGGCTACACACTTCAATGTGCCACAGTGTCCTTTCTTGATTATGGGATCGATTCCAGATGACCGGAAACGTCACAAAGAAACCTCGATCAGGTAGACTATGACAGCCCGTAAAGGATCGTTACATAAGCACTAGGCGAAATCGGTTTGCAAGTGTAACTAGGTTGAAGGACTTCTGTCAAGCAACTGGAAGAAGGATTTCTGCACAAACAGTGGATTACGCGGTTTCAGACCTGCTATATGCCCTCGCTTACACATCGTCACCATAAAGCTCGGCAGCATTGTGAATCATGTGAATTGGCAACTGCGTCAATGGTGGCCTTTTCTTTCTTTCTTTTTTTTTTTTTTTTTCTCCGGATGAGTCTCGGTTTCGCGTGAACTTTCATGATGGCAGGAGACTTGGGATGAATGAGAGGTATGCTGATTGCTGCGTCACTGAGCATGAACGTTTCGATAGGGGCTCGGTAATGGTTAGAGCAGGGATCAGGACTTGTATATGATTGAATGTGGTAGCCTCACAAGGCTACGGTACCGGGATCCTTCATCCTATTGTAAGACCCGTGTTTGTAGTGAAGGACGACAATGCTCGACCATACAGAACTAGACTTGTGAGTACCGACTGGCCTAGTCTTTCACTCGACCTTCACCCGATCGAGCATGGGAGATGTAACAACAACACACTACCGATCGTCTGTGGCTTCCTGTCAGCCGACAGGAGCTTGTTGATGCTCTTCATCAAGAATGGCCATGAATTCCGCAAACGGCGATACGACGCTTGATTCGCAGCTTGCCAAGCCGATGTTGTGCCGTTATTGGGCCTGATTCGCAGCTTGCCAAGCCGATGTTGTGCCGTTATAGGGGTCAATGGAGGATACACTCACTATTGATAGTGTTGCTGAACCCACTGAAGCATTTTGAATTTCAGCAACAATGGGACCTTAACTTAGTTTTAGAGGGTTATGAACTTGTCATTATACATGACACACTTGGATGATTCAAAGTGGCTCAAAATTGCTTTCGTATTGTTTGACTTCACTCTTGCATTTCAAGTTCCAAATGCTTTTGTCTTTTGATACAATTAATTTTATCATACTGAAATGTCACAACCTTGACACGATAACATGTCACTCAGTCGGACAAATTATACTCGCATATTTGTCTAATCGGTCTTTGTGCATTAAATAGAGCACAAAGTAGCATTTTAATGACTTTGATATATCGGTTTTGGACAAAACTCAACGAGCCAAGTCATATTCAAAATGCTCGCTTGTCGGACATTTTAATTTTGTTTAGTTTTATTTTGCTTTGTTTTCGAATCAGCCCTTACACCCAGTCCTCGAGAAATACTTATAGCTAACATTCGTGATCAAAATTAATAATGTCTGCATGTCAGCCATTTTTATCTTTCGGATCAGTCCCAATATCAAAATATATCAAAAATGTCAAAACGACATAACTACAGACTAAAGGAAATCTGCATTCGGAATCCAAGAAAGATCCATCCAGTCTTTATCTAGAAATAGCCACAATAAGTATTGTTTAAGGACAGACGACGAACGCTGTGCAATTTGGACGGTTCACCCTTGTATTGACATTGGCCAATATAGTCAGAAAGTTGAAATTTTCGAATGACACATGATGAAACCAATGAATCTTAGAGAAAAATGACATATATGTAGCCAGTTGCAGTTGGTATTTAAGGGGAAATTTCTTGAAAAGAAGACTCTTTAAAATGAAGAACATGGTTTTGATACAGGCAAAATTTTATTGATTTATTTGTTAAAGTTCCTCCAACAGTTCAATATTCAAGATGAAAAAGTAAAGAAATTGAGGGACTGTTCGTTGATTTAACATAACGCCTTATTCCAACGGAAAATTCAGTATTCCATATAGACGTAGTTCATTGGCTGTCACAAACATTGTCATTTTTATTGACCGATTAAGATTCTTTAGACCATTTTCATACGCCGCCGGAGGCGGTCGTATATTGGCGTCATCTTCTCCGTCTGTACGTCCGGCCGTACGTCCATTTCTTGTGAACGCAACTCCTCCAAAATAATCATCAGATTTTCACGAAACTTGCTCAATGTCACTACTACAATGGGCAGATGTGCATGAATGGGCGATCTTTTGGTTGTTTGATTTTTGGAAGATTTATGCCATCTTTATGTCTTGTAGCGGCGTATACCGCACTCTTGTTTAAACTGTGAGACATGAAGATAAGACAATAAAAACAAACTGTAATATTAATAATATTTATTGGCGATAAGTACGTGATAATTGAGATTATTATACAATGAGGTTTTACTGTTGTCCGGACACTACAGGAAAACAACGATATTCAATACAAATGTCTGTAACAATAATACAACCAATTATCTAATGGACACCATGAATTACAGTATCTACTAACAACTTTAAAGTACTAATTAATAAACATAACAAAACATTGAAAAAACGAATGAATACAACTATTACTGAGACGATAAGGAGGGGGAGGATCTACACAATATAACATATATTAAACATGGATTTATTGAAAGACATTGGTGATCGAGAAAGCTTTACAGACAAAACGTAATAATGAGATACTACAGATGGTTGTATATTTACAATGACAAAATGTTACCCGTGTCAAATAGTTTCCTCGTTTATTAGAAACACAGGAACAGTGTGAAAGAGTTTAGAAATATGAGTTTACTTGGATCAGGTAGTATTGACACAGGGTCTTGTTAATGGAATGTTAGAATTAGTGTTTATCTTGGACTAGCAATGCTTTCTGCAGTAGTCTTAGATACATGTATGATTCACTGAGTTTTCAGGACATTCTAATGCTTAGATTGGTATTAGAATGTTCAGATACGAGTAACGTACTTAATTACTTGCACGTGACCTGAGGGATTTGTAATAGAACATAACTCTGTGGCTGAACACAGGACATCGTTGGGTGTGATGTTATCTAGGCACAGGGATTTACATGTGATCAAGTATGCATTGTATATTTCTGAACAAGCATATCCAAATTTTATCGTGAGAACTCCTTTTCTCACACAAGGGATGAGACGGGGGTTCCCCTTTCATAACACTGACATTACGTAAAATTTGTCATGTCTTGAGACATAAGAAGAGAAGAGTTGCAGAAAAAAGGGGAAAATGATCATTTATCCCCTTGTGGATGAAATAGGGTTATCCCCTTGTGGGTGAAATAGGGTTATCTCCTTGTGGATAAGATAGAGGATATCTACTTTCTATGAGGGTATTATGTTACAAACACTTGACAAGCCTTATGTCTGCCAACTAAAAATGTCTTCCCAATCGGATAGAGATCCTTCTATCTTGCCCTCAAGTGAATGAAATATTCTGTTATTCCTAGTACTGAGCACCATGTCTAATTAACATTCATTAGACAACGAGTCCAAGGCGCGGACACATGAATAGAAAAAATGGCTTTGACTATTTGTTATCTGGTACGACACATGAGTGATTATATTGGAATAGTTCATTTTCTTTATAAATCAGGAACCCTGTTCCTGTATCGAAGTGGAGAGGAAATATTAGCAAATTAACGAGATGTATACAGTGATACTTCCTTAATCCGGAAATTTTATTTCTAATAAATATATATATTATATATATATTTGACACGCAGTCATTTATATACAACCCGATGATAGCATACATTGTATGTATATATATGTTACAAATGCAAGAAGGCACATTTGTATATGATAAAATTTCTATGAACCGGTACTAAATACCCTACGTATCTTATTCCGGTTTACAACGTGATTAATTATTGTAGCATTGCCAATTAATTACGAACATTAATGAATGGATTATATACAATGTATTACATACGGTGTACTTACATATTGTATGTTTTAACAATACCATTAGGATGATAATCTACGCATGTTATAACTATACACCGTACATATTATATAGAGAACTTATAGTTCGAATACACATTAGCACTATAGCATCAGTACTACTGATATAACTCAGTCAGTATCACCGAGACTGGTGTATTATTTGTTACAATAATAACAATATGTTTAAATTGCAATCAATAACAACGTCTATTATTTTTTCATGGTTGATTGCATTGTCCAACATGTTATCCGGTATAATGAGATTCTGTAGTAACGAGAACGTCAGTTTTAATAACCTGATAACATGTCCTTATAAACCGGTATAATGAGATTCCGTAGTAACAAGGCCATCGGTTTGTAAAACCTCAGTAAAAAGTACTTAAAATCCGGTATAACGAGATTCGCAGTAACGAGGTCGTCGCTGTGTAAAACCTCAGTAAAAAGTACTTAAAATCCGGTATAACGAGATTTCACAGTAACGAGGTCGTCGCTGTGTAAAACCTCAGTAAAAAGTACTTAAAATCCGGTATAACGAGATTCGCAGTAACGAGGTCGTCGCTGTGTAAAACCTCAGTAAAAAGTACTTTAAATCCGGTATAACGAGATTTCACAGTAACGAGGTCGTCGGTGTGTAAAACCATAGTAACAAGTACTTAGAATCTGGTATAACGAGATCTCGTAGTGTCTCAATCGTCAGTTTGTAACACCTCCGCAATACATAGTTTGGTGTGTACATCGTATGAGAAGCAATGTGTTTACAGCATAATATATAATTAGTACCACATGTAAATACATGTCTGTGACGTCACAAGCATCTTTTTTATACTGAAACCGTTACACTGTGTTCTGTTAACATGGTCCATATCTTTCAAGATACAGTACCGACTATCTTAACAATAGTCAGGTATGTTAACAAATCCTTTGCTTCCGATCGTGGAACAATGAATGGAGTGTCCATCACTTCGAGAACAGGTTACCATAGATGGTTGAATGGCTGGTGAAAAGTTAATCTCTTTTTTCGATGACGTCACAATGTGCCTTTGCCAACTTAGGAACCCGAATTGCGGTTGGTGGATCCGTTACTAGGCGTTTTATCTGCTCATAGCAAACAAAAGTAGCCACATTCCAAGACCCAAGTCTCACGAAAGATGGGGTGAACCTAGACAGAAAACAACATATTACCATTAGTATGGTATATCACAGTAACGGCAAAAGTAGCCACATTCCAAGACCCAAGTCTCACGAAAGATGGGGTGAACCTAGACAGAAAACAACATATTACCATTAGTATGGTATATCACAGTAACGGCAAAAGTAGCCACATTCCAAGACCCAAGTCTCACGAAAGATGGGGTGAACCTAGACAGAAAACAACATATTACCATTAGTATGGTATATCACAGTAACGGCAAAAGTAGCCACATTCCAAGACCCAAGTCTCACGAAAGATGGGGTGAACCTAGACAGAAAACAACATATTACCATTAGTATGGTATATCACAGTAACGGCAAAAGTAGCCACATTCCAAGACCCAAGTCTCACGAAAGATGGGGTGAACCTAGACAGAAAACAACATATTACCATTAGTATGGTATATCACAGTAACGGCAAAAGTAGCCACATTCCAAGACCCAAGTCTCACGAAAGATGGGGTGAACCTAGACAGAAAACAACATATTACCATTAGTATGGTATATCACAGTAACGGCAAAAGTAGCCACATTCCAAGACCCAAGTCTCACGAAAGATGGGGTGAACCTAGACAGAAAACAACATATTACCATTAGTATGGTATATCACAGTAACGGCAAAAGTAGCCACATTCCAAGACCCAAGTCTCACGAAAGATGGGGTGAACCTAGACAGAAAACAACATATTACCATTACTATGGTATATCACAGTAACGGCAAAAGACTTCAAACACCCTTTTATTGTGATGATGATGGGAAGTATTGCTCTTTAACCCGACACTGTTGCCTTGGTGAAGTTGCATTAGCACATAAAGCACCTTTGTTCATGGCTACTAAGTACGTAACACACGTGTGTGAATATGTATTTCACCGGTGAGTATAGTTCGTTTTCTAGTGAATATACTGCCTTATCCTTACACTCATTTACAAGAGTAACTTAAACAGAAGTAGTTCTAAATTTTAAAAAGTGTTTTTTGTTCCCTAATAAACTTTATTCCAATACAATGGTGAAATACTAGAAATGTACATGACTTAGCACAATGCAATTTTACGCAAATTTCAGAAAAGAAGAATTTTCACATTCACAATAATATATATACATGTATATACATGAGAGGGGGGGAGAGAGGGAGAGAGGGAGAGAGAGAGGGGGGGGGAGGGGGAGAGAGGGAGAGAGAGAGAGGGAGGGAGAGAGAGGGAGAGGGAGAGAGAAACAGAGAGAGAGGGAGAGAGAGAGAGAGAGAGAGAGAGGAGAGAGAGAGAGAGAGAGAGAGAGAGAGAGAGAGGGAGAGAGAGAGGGGGAGAGAGAGAGAGAGAGAGAGAGAGAGAGAGAGGGAGGGAAGAGAGAGGGGGAGGGAGAGAGAGAGAGTTAAGGGGGAGAGAGAGGGAGAGAGAGGAGGGAGGGAGAGAGAGAAGGGGGGGGGGAGAGCGCGCAAATCGTTCAACATGAAAAACGCGAGAATAAGATGACCGTTAAAATATGAATGCTGACAGGACCGACAAGGCAAAGGAAGGGTTATTGATTTAGGACTGGATACTCTTTACAGCCTAGCTAAGGAATATATTTTCCTGTTTAACCATGATGACGACGATTTTTCAACGATTTCATTTCATTTCATTTTTCTTCTTGCAAGAACATTTAGTACAATTACGTCCCGGAAATATCACTGTCAAAACTCACCCTTTATAGAATGTTCGGAATCCATCTTCGTTGAATACTTTTATGGCACAATCTATCACTCCCTTGTAGCGCCCCTCTTCTGCGTTCATAAAACGCGTCTTTATGACGTCGACTGGATTAGCGATGACAGTGGCACAGAAGCCTGCCCCGAACGCCGCAACAAAGTGGCACGGGAAATTGTCTGATAGCAGGTTTCTCGATAAAATGGCAGTTTTTAAAACGTCGTATGTGACAATTTCTCCAACATTAATGATACTTGTTCGAGCCATATTTGGCACCAAACCTCTCCACAAACCATGTCGGATGCCCTCTTGTCTGGCTATTGTCCTATATGCATCCATACATCCCGAATATCTATTCGGAACGCCCCTATTCTGGGCTTGCATTCGTACTTTGACCACATCCGTTGGTTGAGCAATCCATACACACACGGTGCCGGTCGTGATAGCGGAAGCGATGCGAATGAAGAAATTGTCTTTTTTGTGGGTATCTGTGGAAAAACATACGTAATATAGAATGAAATGATCACATTATACAAATGTTCTACGCACAAAATTCATGACACAGGGTTGTTTTGTGGTTAAATGTACACGGAAAACGCACGAAAAATGAATTTTCAACAGAAAAACCCTACCCCTACTCCCCTTTAATCTCTGTTTTACATTCTGTTATAGTAAAAACTATAACCAGTATTTCATCTCAAAGTGATATGCATTAACTCATGAGCATCCGCCAGTCTTTTCATTTAAAAAACACATTAAAAAACAACCTTTATTCCGATGTAAGAACAAATTCCGAAGTAGATTGTTCGGAATTCCAGATTTCGTAAGACGTAATAACCTGAATATTGCAGCCTTGGTGAACTCGTTAACGTTGGAACTTACCGCTGTAGATTAGAATCTTGTACTGCTTCTTAACCTCATCATAGCTTCCAATCCGAATCGATGAGAAACACATCTGTCTTTGTAACCCGGGAACAAGACCTTTATATAGTCTTCGTACCCCGTCCTCTCGAGCAACCACGCGGATTGTTCCGAACACACCACGGTACTTCGACATCCCACTACTCGTTAAGCCCGATTTCTCACCCTGCACCTGGAAATACAATCAAATAGTGAGGCATTTGCTGAATCAATTTAATTCTCCAATGATAGAATAACACTATCCGATTTAGTAAGGACCTTAGGAAACACCTTATGGCCAAGGCTTTCGGGCGGAGAACACTACATAGATCTTAATTTCAAGGCAATATTTTCTCAAAAGCTTTTCCCTTAACTGACCGACATAAACGAATGTAAGGTGGAAGGTATATATAAAAGTGAACATTACTACTACGGGGACAGTTAATTGACGCACCTTATGTGGCCCAACGAAATTAATCAATGATATCATAATATGGAGTAAGATCAAACTAGAATTAGACAAAACGGGATGAAGTTATCAACAAAGGAAATATTTGCACGGATGCTGTTGGAAAGTGCAATGAGAATGAAACAGGGTGTTCCGCAAGTGTAAGCGACTTCTACTTCATCGACGACAACCGCCATGAAACCCTTAATTCATAATATGTGTTAATGGGAAAATCACATGATAATATATGAAACCCTTATGTTATTCACGATATTGGTGTTCCAGAGATGGAGATATTATAACATTAGTTGTAATCTTCAGGAAGTCGGTGTAGGGTGTTGATACCATCTTATCTTACAACATGATACGTAATATAAGCAATTAAAGATATATGTATCTTCAATCTATGATAACTGTTTCTGTATAGTTTCAACTTTAGTCGAATGTAGGTTCATTACATCGGCCACTGCATTGTCCTTTTAGAAATCATTCTAGAAACATTGGTTACAAGGTCACACACGGCAATTAATGGGTTTTCATTACTCTGGCCTTTACATTACATCGTGGTACTACATTGTACTTAAACATCTGGCACAACTAAAACAATATGGTTCACGACATATATTACTAATTAATAAATAGGTATACAGAGTAGGCATCACCTTGGAGCACTAAACATCTAACAGATTCTCGGTCGTGTGGAGCTCGTTAGATCAATAAATAGGTATGTCACCCACTATAAAGTAACTGAATCAGGTCGACCTAAACCAAGAGGAGACGCAGGACATCGGCCTATATGTTACGCTTTGACTATATCTGAGAATGCGTATGCTTTGTCACATGATAAAATATTCATCCTATATCACGAGACCACGGTGGCTAACTTGTGACATTACGAGACACTTCACCTGTCATAAGATGATGCCATATGATAAATTCCACGTACAGTATAACGTTAAACATTTAAAGGAAGAAACAACAGAGATAACCCTTGTAAATAAAGTCTTGTCTTACTTATGTATTCGTGTTGAAAACATCTCACGTTTTACCTTCGTTGACATAGATATCCTCTGATACTTGGGGTTGATTGCCCATGCAGAATGTCTATGATATGTCAAACTGGTGCTTAATACATGCTGTGGTGTAAACATTTTATGTATGTTCGGCTCAATAACATCGGCTCCGTGTGATCATGTAAAATGCATGCACTTCTAATACACACGGCGAGACGGTGACATTTCAAAGTAAAACATTGTTGACTCGTGAAGCCCTTCATATTTACGAGGTTTCCCTCGTAACATTATGTAAGGAAATATAGCCTAACGGACATTTTTTTTCTATTGAGGGAAATCAGTACATATTGTGAAAGCAATTGTAAGCGTTAAACAATATATATGATGGATTTTTCTTAACGTTGCCCTAAGCCACACTAGGAAGTGATGCATATATTGTACATGTATACACTCTCAACCGGACTGATACGCTCGACTGACGATGGACTTTGGACCTTTAAATAAATCATATGAACATGTTGCCTTCACATGTGACAGAGTGGAGCTGGAAAGCACACACAGAGAAATCTATATAGTAAATATCCCAATAAATCCTTGAATCTTGTACGATGTCAATTTTCAAACTTTTCGAAATAACTGAGGCCGGGGCAAATATACACGTACATTTATAAGAATTAAAGACAAGCGATCAACCAACCAAGTTGTAAGGTATATGAAATGAAATTATTATTTATTTATAATCATTTTGTAATCATTAATTATATAATTATCAAGCAATTGATATCGATAATGAACATTACTAGGTTTAATGACACGCAAGATGGTTCTAATGTCAAACAAAAAAGGAAGTGTCGAGAGAAAATCCACGTGGCCGGCCAGGTGACTCTACTTTTAAAAAAAATACTATAATATCAGGTGTATCAGCGCATAGTCACTACAGTCACTTAACGTACAACAGTAAGATTGAAGAAATCTTCATCATTATCTTTTTATCATTGTTCTATACAAAACTAACCTTTTTCTATCTCAATACATGAAGAAGTACTAAAGGAAAAGGTTTTATAATTTGTTTTTTAATCCTTGCTTCGTATTTAACGAAGACATGCATCGCATTCAATACTAAAGTAGGAAGACATCAAAGCCCTAATCTGATAGGTTAAAAGCATGTCAGAAATCCTTGGCTTGTGTTTCTTTATTTCTAGGCTGAAAATAAATCTTACATATTTACCTGCAGTAGGACCTTTGCAGTGTCCAGTGGGAATGTCATACAATCTGCGATACACGCAGCAGTACCAGCGCATGCCAGATTCTCGAAAAGACTTGGCGGTTTTTGTACTTTACTGACAGCCATCTTCTGAGTATACTGCAAAACAGAGAGTATTTCGAGGGCTAACGACATCTTTCTTTCTTTTGTTAAATTTTCGCTAGTTTTATTGAATTTGAGTCTAGATTACGGGTTGTATTTGTATGGTATATCACGGCATCACTGTGTTTATAGGTTTGTCTGCGGGATTCTGTTGTTGTTGTTCGAGTTAGACATTTTGGCTCAATTGGAGAAAAAGGTAGTAAATAACATTAAGTCATAAGACATTTTAGGAGAACTTTGAGAAATGGTAGTAATTTCCAAGCTATAGATGAATACAAAAAGTGGATTTTTCCAAACAAGAATCATTGAACAATAAAGACAAGCAACATCACGAACAAGCGAGGACCACACAATACAGTTTTCTGAATTCATGACAGAAACTTGATGTTGAATTAAAAGCCAATGCTGTCGACTCTGATTAGAGTGTCGTTTAATTACAAAAAAATTGATGAAAGGTTAAAAGGTAAGACATTACCAGACTTACAGATACTGATAATTCCTTTCTATTACACGGATTCGATAAAAATACATTTTACCATCCTGTGTGTCATCGTAGGATATCATCCCTAGAAAGATGACTAAATTGTAGAATCGCTGCCAAGAACATATGAAATACTAGCAGCCTAGATGTAATAATACTTTTAATTAAGATAAAACTTACTTATAATCTTACAGTACGATTAAATTGTATGCTTTATTGACGACTTGGTGTGTTACTTTCCTGTCAAGTCCGCTAACTAGAACAAAGACTTAAAATGGCTATTGGCTAGATTACAATTAATTGGCACCATTCCAATAAAGTCTATTCAATGACAGAGGAGGACAAATCATTGAGAAATTTCCTTTTGTCAACTGATGTATTCTGTGAATTTACAAACACATTACGCTGCTTATATCTCTTTCTAAAACGAAAAAGAAAATATCATAGACAGATAAACCTAATTATGGTTTGATACCTCATGGATAATCTTACTTCCGTTGTCTATGAAATCGGTCAATTCTTAATAAGAAACCATTGTTAACAGCCCCAATGAGTTTGAGACAGACTCCTTGTGCTGAAGTAAATGGCATGTTACAGTTAAACTCTGTATACTTTTTTAAAGCCGTAAGTACGCCACCCATTACCATTAAATATACTAATTAGTTGTAAATAGAATGAACTACACCGTTAGGTGCCCCATTAAATCTTTGATTGCGTCATACTTCTTGATTTACATCCAGCTGTCAATTAACTCGACCGATCAATACTACCTCAACGTCAGTTAGATATAGGTTATATATAGAATGACTCTCAGCTTCAGATCAGAACAGTGTGAAAGTCTTATGTGAAGGAAAGTAAGATGAACATGTATGAAACTACTGGTACACTACCTACTAGTATAACGGCTACACAAACAATTCACTTTAAATGTATCTTATAATAAAAACAACTACATCGATCAAATTGGCTTTACAACCTAAACAACTTTCAATATCAAGTTAAGTTTTGATAAAGCGTTTAATAAAATGTACAATATTCAACCGAATTTAGTTTCATTAATGATATGGTTAAATCAGAAAACATTATCGACATTCTGCCATAAACACTTATTCAAATAGTTAACATGTATATAATTTTCAACTCACCAAAATTCGAAGGTGATGAATCCAGTGAGAATGATTCACATTAAAATAGGTCTAAATTAAGAAAAAAAAGTCTTGTTGTTGATTATGAGATTGAGATTTATCAAAATCCATTCCACTAGACTTTCCACAGTCAATAAGAATTACTGAAGTCATAACAAAATTGTGAATCATGTTTCTCCTGAGTGGATAGCTGTTGTACCTGGCCAGCTTGTTGTCTGTCGTAAGGTCTGCTCGGTTGATACCCGCTCTGTTGCACTGGGTGTTTTCAGCTTTTTATAGACAGCTGATCAAGACCACAGAGCTGACGTAATCCGAAGTAGTTGGAAGGTGTGTCTCATTCCAGCGTTCTGATTGGCTAATAAATATAGGTCAACCGACTTTGCGTGACACGTGTTTGTGTTGTTTACAAACAATGATCTGGTTAGGCGCCTTTCATGGCGTATATGTATATACACCAACGATATGACTCGACAGTATAACAATTATTCTGAATCTGGTTATTTAAAATTTCCAATACACATGTATATACACGAGTGTATATATAGTCACAGCACAAAGGAAACTAAAGGAATCACACGGTGTCTGAGAACTGTACGGCTATATGATTTTTAATGTAACAATGAGCCGTGCATTGCTTGTACGTCTAAACTATCCACCCACATTTGTCTTCCAACAAACCTATTTACATTTTGAGCTGTCAGGCTTACTGCAGTTTGTACCTTTAACAGAAATTAAAAAAAAAAAAACCATTGTTATCTAAACTACTTGTTGAACGCCAGGACAACCAATATAACCGTGACTAGACAATTATCGATTAATGGCTGTTTATTAATGTGCAGATAAAAGACGTTAAATAGCACAGCATGTTGCCGAGTACAGCCTGTCCTACTCTTACACGATAGGTCACTTGTAAGATAAATAAAAGCCCCAAGTTAATTAAGATTTATTTGTATTCGTTTGAGGAAGGCTGGCAATATCGAATTTCAATTATTGCTTTAGTTTTCTCGCGTGTCGAAGTTAAATGCGTCATGCCAAGATACAATCTATAGCTTCCATGGATGACAGTTTTTAAACAATGTTGACAATAGGGTATTAATTGTCGTGCCAATGACCATATGAAACAAGTGTGCACTAACTTACCAGTATTAAATGACATTTGGATATCCTCGGTGGATATCCGGACAAGTGTTTATTGCCATCTTGTTTCGTTTTTAAAAGTATAGATAAGTGTATTAACTAGTTTACTTTAGACACTTTCCGGGTCCTGTTATTGTGACGAATACTTCGTGGAATCGAATCACGTGAGGTTGAATCCAGCGTGGTGTCATTTCTCTGTGTCTACAAAAATATCTTTCTATCTATACTGAAGGCTGGCTTTCCAAATACACCGTAATTGTCCTCGAAAATGGATGTTTTAAATATTAACAAATATATTTGGTGGATAAATATTGGTGGAAATAAAAAAGAATTTCTGTGCATATTTAGAGAATGACACTACTGCACCTAACACATGTGATACATGTCGGTATATTATTCATCGATATGAAAGCATATTTCATCAGAAAAGGAAATAAAGGAAAGCTGGGATTGCGATTTATACAGGACAGAGTGACTTCCCTTGGTAATTGATCTCGGTAGGCCGGAAACAGTCTTTATATTTGACAGCCCACATTCATACATTTGTATAAACATAAAGCTAAATATTTGTGTTTGTCACATTACACTAAAAATGTGCTGCTGAGAGTATATGTTTAAGTTATGGTATAATTTTATTCTGACCTTCTAGACATTACTATAATATTGAACCAATTTTCTGTTAAGTTTGAACACGTCATCATTGAGATACGGACAAACACCATTGTAATGCCCCAATAATGATGGCATGGTGCTATAATCTTGATTTTTTATCATCAAAACTAACATCAGTTTAAAGATACGACCATTTCTGTCATTCGATATCAAATGGAAGCAATATAGCCCCAAGCTCCTGTAATTCATGGTATGATGATAACACATATACATCAGATATCTAATCAATGCCTCGTTTTACAGGAACTGATGATGTAAGGATTACTATCAGTTGAAATATAAGTAAGTGTATTTGTGATTTTCACCTTATATAAAATTTTTGTTAAGTTTTAAATCGACACTGTGAGATATATAACTGTTGTATAAATCTCGTTTCATGCCCTTTGTTGTATCTTAGGTGCCTAAGCAATATATCAGTTCCCTTATTAATGTATATGCTTGCATCATATTATAGGATGCCAACTTGATTCTGGGTCATTTTGTGTATTCTTAACACAAGCTTGTAAAATCAGTCTACGTTGTATAACCTTTCGTATTCAGGTAAAATAGCACTTGATGTTCTGTTATATTCCACAGTCAACAAATTTTCATGCCATTTTAATTGAGAACATTTTTGTCCGTATTGCTATTTGTCTTAGATTCCAAGTATTCATCTTACTATAAGCGTTGGTCTCTACAATTTACAAAGGAAATGATACGACTATTCCTTGTTCCCTCTTGACAATTGAGATTGACAAACTATACTTCTACCACCTGATTGCTGCTTCATGTACTATTTCAATTTCTTCCAAAAGATTGAGGGCTTCATTTGTCACCATATCCACTATTACAAATAATTGATGTTGGATAAATCCCAGATTCCAGTCAGAGAGTAGCCGAATCTGTATTAAACTTACTGCAAATTTGTTATTTTCGTGGACGGAGTAAAATCGTACAGACACACGTGCCTATAAAGATATAAATAAGAAAACTAAAGTATGTTTCCTGATTCCCCAGTAAAAGTAAAGGAGTCGTTTTTCAAGCTCTCTGTTAATAACCGTTAATAATCATTATCTGATATGATCTTTGCATTCTGGTGGAGGACCTGAGAACAGAAATATAATATCTCCTCATGATGCCTTGGTTATAAGAAACAAGCTCTTTCATACCCTTAAGTATTATTTTCTACAATCAGCAAATATTGATGGAGTTTCAATCGATGATAAAATCTCTCTGATTGCTTTTGTACTTAGATAACACCTTGCGATAGGCATCGGGGTCTGTGATTAACAGGTATCGTGTTTACAATGAGCATTCGATATCTATCCAAACTAGTTCATTTATCTGGTTTGGACGAATGTGATTTCGGCCACCTGTTTGCGGTTCTATGTTTTCATTGAACATCCTGTTTCATTTGTTTACAAAGTCGCATTTTATTGAAAATGTGCAGTTGCTGATCACTCCTGTACACACAACAAGTCTATAACAGAGCTGTATCGTGACTGGTGCGTAGGATTTTGCAACCGTAACCATTCCGTAAAAACACCAAGAATTCATAATGCATTCTTTCAAGATCCCTACGATAACAACGCAGATTCTTTTGTTACTGGATAGACTGTCTTGATGACATACTTTTGTATACTTTAAGTCTTATATCTCCATGAAGCTCAATTTCGTGGTTTTTTCAGACAATCAATTATCAATGATTTCAGACAACCAATGATCAATGATTCAGACAACCAACGATCAATGATTTCAGACAACCAATGATCAATGATCAAGGATTTCAGACAACCAATGATCAATGATTCAGATAACCAATGATCAATGATTTCAGACAACTAATGATCAATAATCAATGATTTCAGACAACCAGTGATCAATGATTTCAGACAACCAATGATCAATGAATTGACATTTGATTTCATACCTGAGTACGGCGCAATAAATACAATTCCATTTTTTAAAGTTGTTGGACAGAAAAAATCCTGGATTAAGATGAAATCAATGTAAATAGATGTTCGTAATTGAGTCAGTATATGAAATTGTCTTTACAGCATTCCTGTGAATTTAATGTGAAATATTCATCTGATGTATTTTACCTTAATATCAGTCAACGTTCTACAGAGCATGATTTATAGTTTCACAACATTTTAAATCTGTGTTCGCCATCACTGTTCACTCACGATGATTGTTATCTTTTAAGAGCTGATAAACTTGGTTGAAAGTGACCCATTGAATTATTACATAAGTGTTTATATACCAAGAAACCAGGAAACAATGTCCGAGTTGCTTCCTGTATATCGCTGGGCAGACCATCCTTGAATTTTGATATTAAGGGAAGCTGTCGTTTAAAATGTAACAAAGTGCAGCATTACAGAATTTCACCTGATCTAACATTATTGTAACGCTAACTTGGTGAGATGTGTAAGAGATATATAAGATTGTTCAAAGGAAACACGAGTGTTTACACCCTTCAGTGCAAATTTAGAATCAAATACAGTAAGAGTCAGATAGTGATTGGAATGCATCATACAGCTGTTTCGTCCTTTATGGACCGTCATTGATGCGACAGGCCTTATCGTGAACGTTGGAGTCAAAATCAAAATGAGGAGGCCCACAGGCCCCATAGTTGAATAAATTTTATAACCGATGAATATCTTATGATTTGAAAAGCACATCAACTACTCGTTTGTATATTCTGAACCGTGTAACTATCAAAATGAATTAGAACGAGGTACACATGTACAAGTTGCGGCAAACCTCGGAGACTAATCGTCCACCAGCACGTCCCCAAGATTACACAAATGACACAAAAATTAACAAAAACCCTTCAACACAAATTTAGAATTTATATATCGTACAGCGAGATAACGAATTAAGTGCATCATACAGCTGTTTCGTCCTTCAGGTTTTAGTCAATCAACATCTGGTAGAAGAAAGTTAATGCTACAATCATTAAAACAATGTCTTTTTGTATCTGAATGTATATTCTGTTTCAACTATCAATAGATATTGATTAAGAGGCAATTCACATCGGGCTGTACTTCATAAATACATTGTTTACAACCAGCTATATGTGCCGTCTAACGTTTCGTCTATGTGGCCTTGGCACTTTATTTCGGTCACCTGTATAGGATCGCATTATCGTGTTCATTTGCTTCCTATGTAACGATGACATCACTAATTTAATGAAACGACGCAAATATCGATCACCCTGTTTGGTAGGATCTGAAAACCATAAACAGTCGTTAAAATGGAGTTATTGTGTAATGCATTCGTCGTTGAATTTTAAATAAGTCTGAATTATATTTTGAGATCCCTACTAAGTTTCATGACCCAGCAATACAGCATGTTAAGCAGAACGTCAGAGTTATTTTGGAATTGTTCTGCTTTCGTTTTCCCGCTTTTCAGCTAGGTGTCATATCTTCCTTAAGCACATTGGCTTTAATCCACCACACTTCTA